GGAGGAATCGAGCCCAATGGCACAGAGGGCAAGAACTTCTACATCCCCATGTCCAACAGGACTGGGGTTGTTAGAAGTCCCTTTGAATACCAACAGTATTATTTGGCTGATCCCATCATGTTCAAGCTTCTAGCCTTCTACATGTTCTTCCTGATCTGCACTGGAACTCCGATCAACGGTCTGACTTTGTTCGTCACAGCTCAGAACAAGAAGCTCCGGCAACCTCTCAACTACATCCTGGTCAACCTGGCTGTGGCTGGACTGATCATGTGCGCCTTCGGATTCACCATCACCATCACATCAGCTGTCAACGGCTACTTCATTCTTGGAGCCACTTTCTGTGCTATTGAGGGATTCATGGCTACGCTAGGAGGTAAGAAATGAATTGCTTCTTAAAATGATCCTTGCATGAAAGGATGTAACACAAATTGGGCATTCAGCTAACTTCTTAAACATCCAGCAACCTAGATGTCTTTTTGTGAAGCTCTTGTGTAAGATGTCTTTTCTCTCGACAGGTGAAGTTGCTCTCTGGTCCCTGGTAGTCCTTGCTGTTGAAAGATATATCGTAGTCTGCAAACCCATGGGAAGCTTCAAGTTCTCTGGTACTCATGCAGGAGCTGGAGTCCTTCTCACCTGGGTCATGGCTATGGCATGTGCTGCCCCCCCTCTCTTTGGCTGGTCCAGGTGATTAGCCTGCATTTCACTTGCAATAGATATGACTTTAAATCCTCAGAACCTGACAGCTACAATTTAAAAACATTGAGAACTACTCAAACAAAACATTCAGGCTTAAGAGAATGCCAATGTAGAAGCATAGGCGTGAGGTTGGTAGATACCGTAGATGCAGAGCTTGTTGAATTGCTCAAGTCTTAATGATTTGCAATAATTCATCTTCTTAAACTGCACACAGATACCTTCCTGAGGGCATGCAGTGCTCCTGTGGACCTGACTACTACACTCTGGCTCCAGGCTACAACAATGAATCATACGTCATGTACATGTTTGTCGTCCACTTCTTCACTCCTGTCTTCATCATTTTCTTCACTTATGGAAGCCTTGTGCTGACAGTCAAAGCTGTAAGTGAAGTTTACGATATTTATACACTAAATGTTAAGACATGTTAAGACAAACTTATTTAATGAGCTGATCTTTTATTTTATCAAACACTTCAGGCTGCAGCCCAGCAGCAGGAGTCAGAGTCTACCCAGAAAGCTGAGAGGGAAGTGACACGTATGTGCATCTTGATGGTCTTAGGCTTCCTAGTAGCCTGGGTGCCATATGCCAGTTTTGCCGGTTGGATCTTCTTGAACAAGGGAGCTTCCTTCACAGCCCTGACAGCAGCTATCCCTGCCTTCTTTGCAAAGAGCTCAGCCCTGTATAACCCCGTTATCTACGTGCTGATGAACAAACAGGTTGGCTCAATTTATTGTCAAGTTTCTAGTATTTGCGTTTCTTCTTTGCTCAATCTGTAAGCCGTGAACTTGTGTCTGACGTTGCTGTCTTTGCTCTTATTTTCAGTTCCGTAACTGCATGCTGAGCACTATTGGAATGGGCGGCCTGGTGGAGGATGAAACCTCAGTCTCTGCCAGCAAGACAGAAGTGTCCTCTGTCTCTTAA